AGTACTAAATACTTTATTTAGGAGAAACGGTGAATAGGGTTTCTGTTTAGACTAGGCCTAGAAATCTGAAAACGGGCAGTTAAGGTTAGCTTTATTCAGTATTTTAGCGTCTTTCTAAGAACAAAGAACGAAAAACACCGCAGATTCGGTAAAAAAAAAAAAAAACTTCAAAAAACTAATATAAAAAAATCACAAGAACTCAGTAAATAAACTTTATTATAATAAGACTAGAGAGAAGTGTGTAGTTGACGTACTTAAAATGTATTTTCACGTCAGAAAACGTACCTAAGTTTAACTTTTTGTCGGTAATAGGGAAAGCGGAAAAAGAACAGTTACGTTTTTGATATTGATTGTTTTTTAACAAACTGTATATTGGCAAAAGGTTTTTCAATTAGACTTTTTTAAAGTGGATTAAACGAGGCTTAGCTTGGTGGTTAGTGTTCTTAGACTGTGAACCAAGGGGGACCAGGAATGGCTTCTTGTTGCCGCTAAACGTCGCTTTGCACTTTGGGTAGACAAAAGTAGCCCAAGGATTGGCTGTTAGTATCTTATCACGGTTGTATCGTGCAATATTTTTTGTGAGGTTAAAGGTTAAGAACCATAGAGGCAAGAAAGACGACTTCAGATAAAAAAACCTTTGTAATGAAAATATTTTTTTGATGAAGCTCCGTAATTATATTTACAACAAAAATAAGCGATAATAATCAGAACTAAAAGACAATTTGGAGAAAAAAATTTCCAAATTCGTGTATTAAATAAGATTAATAAAAATTGTACCAGATGTAAAAAATTAGAAAAGGTATTTTTAAATAAAAAAAACAAAGAACAGAAACTTTTATTAGTGTTATGGATATCCCGTATTTCCAGTTACTATAGAAAATTTATGTGAAAACATAAGATAATCAATAAAAAAAAACTTTTTAAAGTATGAAAATCAAGTGTTCAAACCCACATCGTCCTGGATTTCACCACTGTCCGTGGCCAGTTATATTCACTCTTTAAAACACAAATTAGATAGTAATCCTGGTGTTATTAAAGTATAACTAATAACAATAGATAGATAAGGTATCCTCTACTACAGTACGATGTCTAGCTGTACGACAACCGTCAACCTTAATTATATCACAATAGAATTATAACTACGTTTGTGAAATAATACACACAACCAACACCAGTCGTTGTATTACTATAGCACTGTAATATCCTCGAGTATATGCATGATATCCCTACTTAAAGTAGCTTTAGTGTGATTGACATTTGAGGAAGAATTTTGTGGACAAATCCTGGTTACAACGTTTTGGGCTGCATGTTGAATCCTTATGTAAATCTCGAAAGTTGTCACGTCACAGTCGTGGTTCGAATCTTGGTTTAAATTTTCCTAAGATTTAATGAATAAATTTAAAAGAAACAATTGAGGATGCCCAAAATTGTTTTTTTTCTCTTCACCCTGCACGTAAAATTGTTTTCTCCTTCAAGGACGTTACAGTACTTTAAAGCGCGGTCTTGACGGAGAGCTCATAAATTTGTTGGTTTGTGATTGGTTGATTTGGTGAGCTATCAATTCTGCTAGTGTCTAGTCCCGATCTCGGTTAAAACTTGGTCTTTCTATTTTTCTTTGGTTCTTAAAAGTTCTTTAATTTTAACTTTACAGTATTATTACTTGTCTAAAGTTTTATATTTTTTCCATTCAATCTTTTGTAACAGTGTTTGACAGTGGCTAGTTTTTCTAGGTACATGATTTTGTTGTATAATTCTATGTAAGCTTCTCCACAACTACAGGGAACTACACAAACTGTTTTAGTTTTGGGACATTGGCTCGTTTAACCTATGATAATATGTCTCTCAGAGTTTTTGGTTTAGAATGTTACTGTCAAGTTAAATTGTTTGCAGAACATTCTGCTTAAGTTTGGTACAAACAGCAAAAAAAAAAAAATAAAAAAAAATAAAAGAAGACAGATATTGGTTCGTTCTGTGTTGTCTGCAACATAAGCTCCAGTCAAGTAATGACGTAATAATCGAATAGTGTACTTAAGCCTGAAAATTATTATCATGTGACTTAATCAGCTTATTGTTAGAAGCAAATAAAACTCAGCATTGTTCTGTTTCACGAGATTATTATACAATGATTAAGGCTCAGCATTGTTCCGTTTCACGAGATTATTATACAATGATTAAGGCTCAGCATTGTTCCGTTTCACGAGATTAGTATACAATGATTAAGGCTCAGCATTATTCCGTTTCACGAGATTATTATACAATGATAGAGGCCCAGCATTGTTCCGTTTCACGAGATTATTATACAATAATTAAGGCTCAGCATTGTTCTGTTTCACGAGATTATTATACAATGATTAAGGCTCAGCATTGTTCTGTTTCACGAGATTATTATACAATGATTAAGGCTCAGCATTGTTCCGTTTCACGAGATTATTATACAGTGATTAAGGCTCAGCATTGTTCTGTTTCACGAGATTATCATACAATGATTAAGGCTCAGCGTTGTTAGCTTTCACGCTATCATTAAACAGTAATTAAGATATATTGTTATTTAATTTCTGTAGTGCATATCGGTGAATAGAAGACATATTAATACTAGAAATAAACGACCTTACAATACCAAAATGTTGTTTTTATTTAATTAAATACTCAACGTTTCGCTTTACAGCTTATTCAGGAGTATTCACTAAAGTACAAACCAAAACTAACGATACGAAGTGTTATGAGGTCGTTTATTTCTAGTATTAATTAAGATATATCATTATATAATGACATTATATAATGTGTTTGGAATACTAAGATTATAGACTCTTCTAGTTCTTGACATTCCCTAAGGGTATTGATAAAGAGAGTAGTGTTAAAAATATAATAGGCCTAATTCTAATGTCTTAAGACAATTATAATTAATTATATCATTGATACGTTTCACAATAATTAAAGCATGGCATTGTTACAGTTTACAATAATATTATGTCTTATTGTTGATAATTGTTTTAAGTCGTGTTTCTCGTCAGATTCCTAGACTGACAAACATAATATACTTTATAAGTTCCGGAATAACAATAATTAAAGCATGACATTGTTACACTATACAATAATATTACGTCTTATTGTTGATAATTGTTTTAAACCGTGTTTCTCGTCAGATTCCTAGACTGACAAACATAATATACCTTATAAGTTCCGGAATAACAATAATTAAAGCATGGCATTGTTACACTTTACAATAATATTATGTCTTATTGTTGATAATTGTTTTAAGTCGTGTTTCTCGTCAGATTCCTAGACTGACAAACATAATATACTTTATAAGTTCCGGAATAACAATAATTAAAGCATGACATTGTTACACTATACAATAATATTACGTCTTATTGTTGATAATTGTTTTAAACCGTGTTTCTCGTCAGATTCCTAGACTGACAAACATAATATACTTTATAAGTTCCGGAATAACAATAATTAAAGCATGACATTGTTACACTATACAATAATATTACGTCTTATTGTTGATAATTGTTTT